GGGTCTGGAATGGAAACTTCTTGTCGCAAATCGTCTCCTCTGATTTTAAGAATACTTTTCATGCTTAGAACGGAACTAACCAGGTTCAATTGAGCACCAACCAAAAAAGGATATGAAATTTCAGCTCCCTTTTGTTGTTAGGGCTCTTTGTTGAGAGATTGCGACAATTGCAATATCTGTCGGAAATTGAAAACAATAATAAGCGCCCACTGAAACAACATCGGGTAGTCACAGACATGGCTGAAATATAAAATCTCCTTTTTACCTAGTATTGCTATCGAAAAGACAAAGCAAAACAAAACAAAAGCAGCAATGAGGACAAAATCTCTCAAATTTCCTATCTCGTTTCAAATGTAAGATTTCAATTACTGTGATCTACCTACCGATCAGCACATATTGAGAAATTGAAAAGAGAATCACATTTGAAATATAAGTTGTGTCGCCCGAAACTTTTAGTCATGTCCGATTTTTATTACATGTAAAAACACAACAATGGAAAATTAAGACAAAGCCCTGAAGCTACCAATCGATTGGACAACTCTTCTGGTGCATTTCCTTACGTCACCGGACTTTCCACAGTGAGATTTCGCTGTAAATACTGCCTGATTCAAGCGTTACGTTCAGTTTCGAACTTAAGACCTTCTCTATTCCTGTTAGAATCTCATGTCTTTAGACCGAAAGGAAGCTTCGTCGAGCAATACTATTAATCATTAATTAATTAAAGTTTGAATCGCTTATCTGTGGTAAATGAAGTTTTTTTTTATTTCAAATGACAACCAAGAAGATCAACATGGACAGCAGAGAAGTTCTAATTACCGTTTACATGGGTTTGACAATCGCACTCTTCCTTCTCAACACAAGTCGTGGGTTACAAGCCGTCGATTTATGTATAGAATGCTTGAGAGTACTAAACAATAAGGCGTTAAACATCAATAGTTCATTGGCAAACTTGATGTTCGGAGGCATTTACAATATAATGCTCCATGCTTACCATGTCATGGGAGATTACAAAAGTGAAGAAGTATGTCTCAGGAAACTTCTCCTGTACCACTCTGATGACACTAAAAAAAGGGTGGGTTAATTTAAGGCTGGCAGAAACACTTCACGCACAAAGTAAGTTTATACAGGCCAGGACATTCTATGAGCAAGCAATAAAAATTATGGAATCAATTGGCGACAGAAAAGGCAAAGCACAATGTTACGGTAACCTGGGAGTGTTATTCCAATTACTTGGTCAATATGACAAGGCCCGAGAATATCAGGAGAAAGCACTCGCTATCAGAATAGAAATTGGCGACAGGGATGGAGAAGCAACAAGCTACGGAAACCTAGGAACATTGTTCCAATCGCTTGGCCAATATGACAAGGCCCGAGAATATCAGGACTT